ATATAACAATTGATTCATTGAAATTTAATTTTCACAGAAAAATGTTTGTAACTTATCAATATTAAATTTTGACACAATATTGGCATAATTCTATTGTAGTAGTAAGTATACTAGTGTTAGATTTCGATTAGAGACTCACTAGCGAATACCATTATTGTAGAAATCGATAGTGGTACAAGTGGAACTTAGCTCAAGGCATCATTTTCATCATCTCAATGCATATTGTGAGTATTCACGCACTCCCCTATTTTCGGTTTTTATGTTTTGGGGTGGAAAAGCATGTCCGAAAAACTATTTATTGTTCGTTGTATTTAAATTGATTCGTATCAAACTCGATTGCTATAATTTGCTATATTCTGCTATGTATGTCTATGCAACACGGAACATGAGAACTTATCGTCTTAAGTCCCTTCCCTTATACTTTACTCCAACCATTAACTCTTTGAGCCAATGGTCATTATGGATAGCGCTATTAGGAATTGACAACTCCTCACTCGCCCGATTGTTGGAGTGCATGATACCATATAATCTATGGAATGATAAGCATAGATCTTGATAGGGCATCAGTCATAGGCTTGGTTGGGAACTCGTTGTTTGCTCATACACATACAAACTTGTTATTTATTATGGCAACAAACTCGTTTATTAATTATAGCAATGAACTTTGTTTCACATTATAGCAATGAATTTTATTTCTCATGATGACAACGAACTTTGTTTATATAAACTTATTTACTCATTTTAGCAATATATTTTTATCTATGGAAACTTATATCAAATATTTGATTTCGATTCATGAAACCAACATTATTTTTAACTTGTGAACTCACCAACTATTTTTATAGTTGACGCTCGTTTTACATGCTTTTTCAGGAATCATCGAGTAAGTGGCACTTAGGGACACTTCACTTTTAGGAGCATTCGCATGTGTTGTATTTCAATTTACATTGTAATTTCATTTAAAAATTTGTTCAAAAACATTGTAAATTTGTAATGATTTTTAATACTATGGTTGGTGTTGTCTTTAAACTTTTGCTATGAGACCCTTTTTACTGTCATGCCTCGTGTTTCCGCTTTAGCGGGGTGTGACAATTTGGCCCACGGAAATTGTATGAAAGACCAGGATGCGGCCCCTGTCATCTTTATAAAAGACCAGGGTCTGGCCCCTGGCACCTGTATGGGAGACCTGGATTTGGTCCTCGGTAGGAATTACTTGTAAGACTATGATTTGGCCCATAACACTAACTTATTTATGTATGGTTTGTGGTACTTTGGGAAAACTCACTAAGCTTTTGCTTACAGTTTGTATTTATGGTTTTAGGTACTTCTGGTACCAAGAAGAAGGGTCCAGCATGATGGCACAGCGTTCTCCCCTCACTGTTTTCCGCATTTTTTGGATATTGTAGTTTGATTATTTGACAATTTTACTATGTGATGGTTTTGGAACAATTTGATGATTGTAACTCTTGTTTTTAATATTAAAATTTTACCATGGATTTTGAGTCGTTAGAAAAGTCTTAACCCAAAACTGTACTATGTAGACATATACAACAGATAAACATATAACAAGTCAATAGGCAAACAGACAGATCTATAGATCACTACCGCATAACAACATCCTATAAACCAGGATACAGATCTAATAGATCATTAAAACATAACAACATCCTATATACCAGGATACATAACCTAGTGGCTTGGTATTGGTGCCTTCGAACCATAGGTACAGTAAGGAAGACTCATCTCGCAGTCTGACAAAATAATTGAACAACACGCTGCTCCAAATACCAACTCTGCAGGTCACCTATACAACAAATAGTGACCAAATCTCAAACCACAACTTAAAACACCCAAAATGCCCTTAAGTCAAACTTGGTCAACCCTTGGTCAAAGGCCAAAGTCAAAAAGTCAAATAATTCAAACTGACTGAGTACGCTAAGCGTACTCAGTAAACACACCCATTGTACTGCATCCTTGACCAAACCACAGGACCTTAACCAAGTACGTGCAACGTACCCCTTGTTACGCCCAACGTACTACGTCTCGACACCCTCCTTATCATTAAGTGCTTATTCCTTAAAGGCTTTCCATCCAAACTCAGATCTAGACTCAAAACATCGACTTAAGTCATAAAGTTCCCACCTTTATGACTTTCCATGGATAGAAAAGGTCCAAAAGCTACAACCCTAACTTATTAATCCATTAAGACATCATAATTCTTGCATGGAAGGGATAGAAAGACCAAGATCACATTTTTATGTTTCCTAATAGCTCCATAATGGATAAAGTTTCCAACTGTATCCATCTGGATGGTCCAAACAACCAGGATCTAGTCTTTAAGTCTCAAAGTGACCAAAAATGCATATTTCTCACCTTAACCCATTAAGTCCAAGTCTCCAACCTTCATATTTTAATCAATATGATGTTTAGATGTATAAAGTTTCCAAGTTTATGCATAACAAGGTCAATAACTTTCAAGATCTAAACTTCATGCACTAAAGTGACCAAAAAGCTCATAACACCCAAAACTAGCTAGATCTAACTAATGCATCATCAAGATTCAAGTTTTATACCTTCTGGAATTGAGAAAAGAAAAGTAGGCTTTAGAACCACTAGCTCGAGCTTCAACAATCAACAAGCTTGAACTTTTCTTTCACTCCAATGCACTTAAAACACATAGAAAGGCTCAATATTTGATCTATTGAGCTAGGGTTTCGAATTGGAGGCTCAAGAGGGTGGAGGATGATGTTAGCAAGGACCCCAAGGGGTTAGAGTCCATAAATAGGGCTCAAAACCACGAAAATAGGGTTTTTACTCCGTGGCAGTATGCGCATTGTACCTAAAATTACGCCCAGTGTAATGCCCTAAACACGTGACTTCCTCAGCCTGTACGCCCAACATACTCCAAGTGCACGCCCAACGTACTGCTAGACCCTCTTATTCCAGCTTAACTTTAAACAACCATAACTTCTTTGTTCCAACTCTGTTTTCGACGATCTTTATATCCACGGAAAGGTATCGATGAGCTCTATAATCCTATCTTGATACTTGTGACTAAAAACATTCAAAACTAAAATCTTTAATTTATGCAAGAAGCCCGAAACCTACCCTTCCCATTTTACCCCTCAACATCCATCAAACAATCCAAGGTTTAAATCACTTATCCAATATCATACACCTCCAAAAGAGTCTAAACTCCATTCCCTTGAAACCCAAGGCCTTACATGGTCGAATTACGGTCCACAAACCCTGAATTAAGAAACATCCTGAAACAGGATGTTACAAATGTGAACTTGCTTGATGATCCTTGGCTTACTCCTTCTTTATCCTTCCTTCAAAATCTCCCAAAAAGACCAAAGTAAGCTTCAATAATGGAGGAAACGGGATTATGATTTCTTCATAGCTAATGACGGTGGTAGAGGTTGAGGATGAGAAAACCCTAGCCTCGTCATTCCTTTAAATAGGGTGCAAAACCTAGAAAATTAGGGTTTAAGACATCAACGGCAGTCACGCCGTGGTCTATCTTGCCATGTCGTGACAGATCAAAAGAAACCTGTGACTAAAAATGTCTTTCCACTTCGTGATGATCATTCCCCACACCGTGGCGACTCTCAAAAAGCCAAACTATAAAAAAATAAAATGTACCTCTAGATTCAGATGTTACATCTTTTTTATTTTGCTTTTAGTTTTTTAGTTGTTAAATATTATACATTTTAAATTGCTTAGAAATATATGGATGCTACACAATAAATGAAAAAGCTCTTGATTAGCGTTTTAGTTTTTTAGTTGTTAAATATTATACATTTTAAATTGCTTAGAAATATATGGATGCTACACAATAAATGAAAAAGCTCTTGATTAGCGTATGTGAATTAAGAAACGTAGTAAAAAAGCTTTGAATTAAAACAACTCTCACTATAAGGTTTTCATTTTCTAAAAGATTTTTTTTTTTGAAAAAGCTCATATTATAGATGATCTTAGTTTGATAGTGCATATTCTTAAACAAATTGGGTTACTAATAAGAAATATAGAAATTGGGTACCTTGTACCAGATCCAGTTCCAAAATCAAAAGAACTGGTATAAGCAGTTGTGACACCAACATCATAGGAACTGTTGCTTCCAATTCTAAGAAATTTGCCCGGGTACCCACTTATTCTCACTCGTAGCGGCAACATAAATTATGTTGATCCTTCATAATTAAGATAATCTCAAGAAAGGATAAAAACAAAATATTCTATCAATAATATATACAAAAGTAAATTACTATCTGCAATGTGATTTTTACTTTGTAAGATGTAATCCTCGGGATGAAAACCGCACATGAAATTGAATATTGTCTTTAAAGGTTTAAACAACACACTTCTTTTCCATGAGTTTCCAGTTCCAAACTCTGGGATTTGATGTAGTACATAACAATAACGATATCATTGCATTTCATTTATGAGGTATTTCGCCTCTTTAATATTGACACACCGCAACCAGGGTGTTAGGTAACCTTTTTTTGTACAAAAGCCCCCATTTTGTATTACGAAAGATGTTTCTTTAATCCTTAGCTTCCTAGATTTCTTGCCATCTTGTGGTAACTTTCCCTTATATAAGCACTCCATTATTGGTTTTCTCCAACCATTTAATTCTTCCACAATCGATATTGTTGGTGGCTCCTCTATTGTCTTTGCATGCACTACCTCCACCAACACTTTCTTGGCGAGATGGGAAAATGATGATGATGCTAACTTACTTAATGTCTCTACTCATTTATTCTTTGACCTAGGTACATGTTGCAATTTGAATGTTTTGAATTGTTTTATCAATGTCTTTACCTTGTTTTCATATTGCATGAGGTTTCTTCCCCTAACTTCTCATAAACCGTTGTTTGATTTGCTACAATCATGGAATCTATGAAGGCGCATATACAATCACATCCCATTCTAATTGCTATCTGCAACCTTGCAATGAGTGCCTTGTACTCCAACTCATTATTCGAGGCGGGAATTTCGAATCACAATGTATATGTTATCTCTTTTCCTATCGGGATGCTTAGTATTAGGCCAACCCCAGCTCCTTCAACACAAGAAGACCCGTCCATGTGCAAAGTCCATTCCTCTTCATTAACCTGTACGGTGTCCTTATTCTTGACGTCAGGTCCCTCTGTTGCCGACACCTCCCCGTTACCCGTTATTTTCGTTATGAAATCTGCTAATTCCTGAGCTTTAATACGGGTATGTGGTTTGAAATTGATCTCGTGTTTTACTAATCCCACTTCCCATTTAGCTAGTAATCCTGATTTTTTGGCTTCAACAATACCTGCCTTATTGGGGAACTGGTTAATACTTTTACTGTATGTGCTAAGATGTATCTTCTCAAACTTCTTGCTGCGTTAACGAGTGAAAACGCCAGTTTTTCCATATCCGAGTATCCTATTTCTGCTCCTTGTAATATACGTTTGACAAAGCATATGGGTACTTTCCTATCTCTTTTGTCAGCTACCAATATTGCGCTTGCCGCCAACCTTGACATTGCTAAGTACATTGTCTAGGTTTCGCCCGGGATCGGCGATGTTAGGGTAGGTAACTCTGTTAGTGCTATTTTGAGTTTTTTGAAAGCTCTTTCAGCTTCATCCATTCACCTGAAATCCTTTTTATCCCATACACTTTTTAATGTTTTATAGAAGGGTAGTGTATTCTCTACATACTTTACCATGAAACGTCCCAATGTTGCTAACTTGCCATTTAATGCCTGAACTTCCTTTACTATCCTTGGCGATCGTAGCTATAGTAAGGATTCTATTTTCTTTAGATTCACTCTTATTCCTTCATTTTTGATCACATGACCCAAGAATTTTCCTTCCTTCGCTCCAAAGAGAGATTTCTTAGGGCTTAACTTCATGTTAACGACTCTTAAATATTCAAAAGTTTCTGTGATATCCTGTAGGAAAATCTCATTTTTCCGAATTATGATAACTATATCGACGATATATACCTCTATGTTCCTGTTGATTTGTGGTTCGAACACTTTATCCGTTAACCGTTGGTATGTTGCCCCCACGTTTCCTAACCCAAATGACATTTTGGTATAACAAAATGTTCCTTTTTCCGTGTGGAAAGAAGTTTTCTCCTCGTCCCCTCTATGCATGTGAATCTGATGATATCCTATGTATGCATCTAAGAAGCTTTTCCACTTATTCCCATGTAAGGATTCTCTCTTCTCATCAATAGATGGTAATGGGTAACAATCATGTGGGCATTCCTTGTTCAAATCGGTGAAGTTGACACACATTCTCTGCTGTCCATCCTATTTTATTACTAGTACCGGATTGGCTACCCATGATGGGAATAGTGATTCTCGTACTATCCCGACACATACTAGATTATCTACGTTGTCGTTTATTGCCTTGTTTCGTTCCTTAGACCAGCCACTCTTTTTTGTTTGATTGGTTTTACTCCCATTTTTCTGTTTAGCGTGTGTTCTATCAATTGTGTCGGCACCCCAACCATTTCAGTCAGATGCTAAGAAAACATGTTGGCATTTTTACTTGGTAGTTTTGTTAGCTTTTCGCTCAACGTTTTGTCAGTGTTGCACCTATTTGTATTCCTGGTTCTAGGTATGTATCGTTTATTACAACCAACTCTATTTTGTCTGGTGGTAATTATGACTCTTGTCGTTGCATCTACTTTTCCGCTATAAGTGTCAATGTTGGTACAATCAACACAGTTCCATATCCTCTCAGGGTACAAAATCTAATCAAACCATGTATTATTAATGCAATTGCCTCAAACTTTTTCATGGCACTTGTTCCAAATATTATATTATAAGGCGATGACGACTATATGATCATAAAATCTAGCATCTGTATATTCTTTGCTTGTGTGCGGTAATCTTGCAGAGTTAGTGGCAATGATAATATTCCCAAGGGCCATACCGAATGTCCAACGAAGCTTGTTAAGTGTGCATCGGGTTGTCTGAGTTTGTTTTTTATTACCTCTGGCAACTTTAAGAAACAATGGTCATACATTATCTCAGTTGAGCTTCCGCTATCGCAGTATATTCGATGAATGCCTATGTAATAGATCTATCCATGTATTAAAATTGGTTCATCACTCCTTATCTGGGCTCATTGAATTTGTCGCGTGTCAAACATTTTGTGCAAAAATCTCGTATTGCTTTGTTTGTCATATGGTGAAGTTTTCTCTTCTGTCTGGCAGTATGGAGTCATTTTGTTTATTCTGTTTTTCCACTAATGGTAGTGTGAATGGTTTTCTCTAATTTATGATACAGATGAGGCCAATGTTGTTACGCCGTCTTCTGTGTATGTGGTAGATGGTTTCGTTCGCCTTTCCTAATGTGTACTCGAGAAGATACACTAAAAATTGGGACAACTGTTTGGTTAGAAAGTCATGCTCTAAATATGAATTGCAAAGAGATCTAGGTTTCTCCAAAAACTTGCATTGTTGCTGTGTCCTCGAGAGTTCTTATAGACCTTCCCATATCTTTGGGTATAAGGTTTTATCCGGTCTTTCTTCGTTACCTGGATAAAGAAAATTATCTCGTGTGTACAACTTTTATATTTTATTGTCAAGATCTTGTATTTGTGTAATTTATGGGATGTGTCTCGTTTCTTGCTTCTTTATTTGTTATGTATTGGTATTGACTCGTGTGTCAATTATTAACAGTTGTTTTTTTTCGATTATAGGTTGATTCGTGACGGCTAGGTCAACATTGATTTCGTATGGGTTGAACGGATGTTTTTTTGTTTTTTTGTTTCTTCAATACTGATCTGTTATAACTGGGCCGATATTGGGCTGATCGACCGACCCGGTTACACATTAAAACACAATTACGTTCTTTGTGCGTAAACAACGAACGGACACACACTTTTGCTTTTCTTTTGTGTTCGGCAGCCACAATACAAAGAATGTGAGTTGGAGTTCTACAAAAGAAGAGGCCATCTAAATCAAAAGCAATTATACTATAATTATCTCCAGTAATTTCTTTTTATCCAAGTGGTCAACGGTTCTAATTAGATCTTTACAAATTGTTCTTTCCAGTTAAGCTTAATTTACGTTTTGTGTAACCAAAAAGCTCATGCTTTATTGCTTTATTAAAAGTATATTTGACTTATTACATCATAGTAGAGCTGACAATTGGTTGACCTGGATTGGATTCGGGTTTCAACCAATTTATTAATTAGGTTGAATATTTCAACCCAACCCAACATTTTTATTTAAATGAGTTGATATTTCAAACCAACCCAACCTTTTTAGATAAACGGGTTGTCACTGGGTTGACCCGTTTATATAAATCTCAACCCAACCTATTAAATAAATAGGTTAAATCTAAGTTAACCCATTTAAAATAAAAATGTAAATAAATTAACTAAAGATTACACCACTTAAAATAGTTTCAAACTTAAATAAAATTTGAAAGTATAATAAAAGCACAATCTTAATTCACAAATACAAAGAAATTGTTAAAGTAACATTAAAGATATATAATTTCAATATAATTTTAAAGAGTGATTAGTGTTTTTGGCGAAAAAAAACAAATAAGAATTAGGATTGCATTTTTTTTAAAATATATAAAACAATACAACATTGTAATTTATAAATTAATACTTAGATTAAAACATGGTAATATTTAAAAAATTATTAAATTAAATATATATTAAAATTAAATGGGTTGATGGGTTGAAAACTTTTACTCAACCCAACCTATTTAATTAAATGAGTTAGATGAGTTGACCAATTTAACCTAAATAGGTTGAAAATCTCAACCCAACCTGTTAATTTTGGGTTGGGTTGATGGATTTGAGTCAATTTTTGCCACCTCTACATCATAGGATACATTTTATGACATATTAACAATACTAAAAAAAGATATTAAATAATTTAGCAAATTACAAATATAGAGTATGTTGAACAGGAGAGATAGGGATCTTATGGTATATTCTGAATTTTGTCAAATTTGAACCGGCTTAAAGTTGTGCATATGTTTGTTATTTAGGGGGTGTTTGGTAAAGCTTAAAAAATAAGCTTTTTGACTTATTAACGATTTGATACAGGTATAAGTCAAAAAAAATGTTTGGGTAAAATACAACTTATAGCTGTTAGTAACCTCTAATAAGTCAAAAAAATGATAAGTAACTTACCCCTTACTTATTAAAAACTCCTTATTTGACCAAAATAAGTTATAAGTCAAAAAATAATAAGACTTTTTAAATAAGTTTTGCCAAACACCCTCTTAGTAATCCTCATCAACAATGTTTTAAAACCCGGGTCGACCCGAACGGTTCAACCGGTTGGACCATGACCCGGGGTAGAAGGCGGGACAATTGTGAACAGTTTTTTGTAAAAATACGGACCGGATCGAACCGGCCGGATTTTCCCTAAACCGCGGTTCGACCGCTTATGTTGAACCGGTTCAAACCGGATTGACCCGTTTTAATAGGGTTTGGATAGTTGGATACACGTAGCGAACGTCAAAACAACGAGCCGTTTGTGGTTTTTCAATGTTTTTCAATGTTTAAACTTTATGGACATAAAATTATTGGTTTTATATGTTTATGCATTATGCAGGAAAGTAAAAATATATAAAAATAGAAAAATACCATAAACTCGGTTGACCCGGCGGTTAAACCGGTTGAACCGATTGACCCGTGAGGTCAACTAAAAACCCGGGTTTTAAAAGATTGTTCATCGACAATTGATAATAGGTATATTTAGAAGAATAGTTGTACGTTAAAAGGTGGGGGCAAAAGTTAAGTAGAGAAAAGTTCAGTGGTGGTTTGGTAAATTTGACAAAAAGTTGGAACCGCGGAATTTGATAAGGCAAAGTAAAGCCCAAAATCTGTATTTGTTTGATTGTTTCTTCACAAAATCGTTACAAAACCTAAAACAACTTGAAGAAATCAACCAGAAATTGCAGGGGGCGAGTTCGCAAGAAAAAAGACAACACTTTCGGGTTTTCATCCATGATCGAGGCATGTATTCATCCCCAAACATAGACTAAATCAATGATTCTTTGTTTCTTATATCCTATACGACCAGCAAACTTATTGTTTAAAGTTGGGTTCAATCTCAATTTTGGGTGTATGTTATATAAGTTAGTTATAATTATAATTAACTGTTTCTTAGGAGTGAAGATACTTAGAATACGAATTGTTTAGTTCAATCGTGATCAAAACATGGGACATCGGACTTCAAAATTTGTTGTAATATGGCTCTTGTTTCCCCATGTTCTAATTGAGTTTCGTCATATTCTATTCGCTTTTTTGTTATTGTATTTCAATTATAGCTGCTCTTACACAATTTGAAGTTAGTAATGGCTCTTTTACTTCTTTGATAAATGATCAGAAGCTCAAACACTTGGCTTAAAGACTGTAATAACTTTGGCTTCATTCTAAACAAACACCTAAATATTTATGTTTCTTTTCCAAGTGTAGGAATGGCTAAGACAAGGAGTATGACTAAAAGAGAGAATCAAGATGCATCTAACAAGAAAAGGTTCAAGACATGTGATGATGATGATAATGATGATCCAACACCTTGGTCAGATCTTAACCATGAATTGCTTTTTACAGTTATGATGCAACTGGGAGTTGTTGATTTTCCAGCATTTAGTGGAGTTTGTAAGTCATGGAGGTCATTTGCACTTTCAAACAAAAGCAAGTTTATGGAGTCCAAATCACCCATGTCCATATCCATCTCTACTGAGTCGAATGAGGAAGACTACAACTATTACTTAGATGATATAAATACTGAAGGAAGAAGCTTCAATTCCCTTCTTCCTCATTCTGGTGGAAGGACATGTGTTGGTTTTACTTGTGGACACTTGATCTTATTCGGGAGTAAAACTCATGATTTCTGGCTTCTTGATCCTGTCACAAGGCATGAAATTCATTTTCCTGATATCCCTTCTTCAGTAAGTGATGATCCAGTAAAAATCAGGGGTTTTCTTGCCTTTTCACCTTCAAAATCTCGGTGGGTGTTTGTTATGACAGATGGATCCGTCAATATATGGTTTTCTATATCGGGTCAAGGCGAATGGAATCATGTCACATCAACTTCTCTTATTGTTGATTTAATTGCTTTCAATGGAAAGATGTATGCCATAGACAACTCTGGTCATTTATGTGAACTGACAATTAATCCTGAGCCTAAATTATCGATACTTGAAACCAAGAATTTTCCTAACTTTCCTGAACGTCAGCTGTTTTATTGTTGGAGTGAAAGCCTTTATGTGATGAGATATTTGCCAGTAGGTCATCTCGAATATCACAAACTAGATTTTGAGGAAATGAAATGGATGCTATGTAAAAGTTCAAGAAAAGCAGTAACATGGGTATCATCCAATCCCAATCATAGTGTGTTGAAGCGTATTGCTGCTGCTAAAGAAGGAAAATGCAAGTTATTTATTTGGGAACATATGGTATACCCGAAAAATGTTTGAATGATAATCTCATACATGGGCTATGTGGCTTGTTAGCATAGCATTCTTATCTTTATTTTGAATTTTCATGTGTTTGAACATTTTCAAGATGGTTATATGCAGCACAAAGTACTATTAGATTTATCTCCATTTTATGTGGTTTGATGGTCTTTAATTTAAATTTTTACCTAATGCATTATGTGTAGAACATTAGCATGTTGTTATGTCTATGAAGGACCTTTTGCTGGTCTTTTCATCTGAATAGAAAATGTTATTGAGAGAATGGTGGCGCCAATTGATATAGTAATTCTAGAGGTAGTATTTTTGTCATTTTAGAATAGATCAAATTGGGTAGACTCTTTCCATTGGATGAGATTGTCTTTTTCAGTAGTTGGTAATTTTTCTTAGCACATTGAAGTTATCTTTGCAAGGCATTTATATATGGCCTTACCTCTTCTTGTTATGTATGCAGATAATATACACTTTGTGTGTACTCACAGATTTCATCTTCTTACCCTTTGCTCTTCAATTCAATTGATGTGTGCAGTTAGGATTGTTTGTTTTTACTCTGTAGATGTACATGATCTAATCTGTCTGCATGGCGCAGACCACGCACAAACATAAATATGTCTTGCAGTGTGTTTGCTTTTCTGAAGTGCGCAGACAAAAAAAACATCTAGGCGAGGTCTTCATGGCATAGACTTGGCCTTAAGTTTTCCAAGGTCTGCACGTTTATTCAAAACATATATATATATATATATATATATATATATATATATATATATATATATATATATATATATATATATATATATATATATATATATATATATATATATATATATATATAGGAGGGTTCAATTGAGAAAAAAAAGGTTGAGAATGGGGGAATCATTCTCAGCCACACATTTATTTTGCCGCAAAAAACTTAGGCGTACCGTCAGAAATGGATAACGGATAAACATGTGTTTTCCAACTAAACATGTTTCCTTAAACTATGTTAATCATTACCTTAATATACACAAAAAACATACTTTTTTTTTGTTTTTTTATTTTTAGAAAACCATTTTTATCGAAAAATTATTTTAAATATATCAAAATTTATAATTTTTTATTCTATATAAATAGACATCCATATTGATATAGTTTTAAGCTAAAATAATTTTTTTTAGAGTTTCAACTCTCGTTATTCATAAATGAATAAAAATCTATCAGATTTTTATTACAATACATTAGTTATTCACTTATTAATAAAACGTATGCTTAACTTTTTTTTATAGTTTAAGTATCGTTCATATATGAATATGACACGTAATAAAGTTTTCTTACTTAAAATATATTTTTTACATCATCTTTCGTCATATATTATACTTATATATGAATAAAACGTGTATTAGTTGTCGTCATATTTTATATTCATATATGAGTAAAACATTTATCGGATTTTTGTTACAGTTAATTTGTTATTCATATATGAATAAGTGGTATAAATGATACTTAAACTATAAAAAAAATTAATTATATATTTTTATTCATAAGTGAATAACGAATGTACTGTAGCAAAAATCTGATGCATTTTTATTCATTTATGAATAACGATAGCTGAAAATATAAAAAAAATAATTTTTTTTTATTTTATCTTAAAAGTATATCAATATGGATGTCTATTTGTAGTAAATAAAAAATCATGAATTTTGGTATATTTAAAATAATTTTTCGATAAAAATAGCTTCTTCAAAATTAAAAAAACGTAAAAAAAACTATGTTTTTGTATATATTAAGGTAATGATTAGCATAGTTTAAGGAAACATGTTTTATTGGAAACACATATGTTTTTCTTATCCATTTCCGCTGGTACAACGGAGGCTTTTGCGGCAAAAATAAATGAGTGGCTGAGAATGTATCCCCCGTTCTCAACCTTTTTTATTTTCTCAATTGAACTTATCTCTATATATATATATATATATATATATATATATATATATATATATATATATATATATATATATATGTGTGTGTGTGTGTGTGTGTGTGTGTGTGTGTGATCTCTTCTATCGGGCGCCTTCATCGTTCATTCTCACAGCCTCCCTCCTTCACCGATCATCTTCCTCCTCAACAACCACCGTCGTCACCTCCTCACCCACCGTTGACATTCACTGACTTTCACAGCCGCTGCTGACATCCATCGACACTCCTCACCATCGACGGCTCCTCCACCACCGGTCTTCTTCACCTTCGTCTTCTCCTCGTTCCGCCGTTGTCTAGACCAGACGCACCACCTGAAGCACGAGAACCACCAGATTTTCCCCTGAAAACGATAATATTTTTCCCCCTCCTGCTTTTGATTTTTTTCCCTTGTTATAATATGAAATTGAAGGTTGTTCTTGCTGAAAAACTCTATATTTAACTAAAATTTGTTGTTTAATCTTACTGAAAATACTTGTTATTGCTTCAATTTGTTGTTGAATGTGCTCAAAATCATTATTTGCTTTTAGATGTCGCTGGAAAACGGAAAACCTTATTGCAAATAGCGTTCTTTCTTAAATTTCTTGTTTAGTGTTGTTCATTTACTTGATTACCTCTCAAATGTTTATATGTTGCTAAAATCTGGAAAATGTTTGCAATAAGCATTTTAATATGCAACTTCGTGAAATTTCCCTTTCTTGCATTGCTTTGAAGTTTTTTAATATTATTGACATTGCTGATAATTGGGAAAGTATCTTTAATGTCAAGACTAGATCCATAATATATACTTTTATTACACAAGTTATTACTACTGTTGTGTAGTAGTCATGTTTGGGACTAATTTGTTCCTAATCTCGTGATTGATTTGGAAATGTTAATTGGTGAGCCACCATTTGTTGATTGGCCTTTGTTATTCTCATTGTCCAAAGCTGGAATATAATGTTGACAACATGGGAATGTGATTCAGAGCTTGGAGTTATGTATGGATAATTTAGGATAATTTTGTAATGTAATGTTTTTATGGGTATTTTGATTCATTATATGTAGATTGTAAAATTTTGTTTATTAATGTCTTAAAAATGATCCTTTTTATTGCTCGATAATGCAACGGAAACTGTTAAATTTTGTACATTGTATGTAAATTATTATAATTTGATTATTAATCTTTTTTCAAAGTCTTTCAAGTTTTAAAAAAATAAAGTTATTTTTTGCAGTCTGCAGACTTTAAAAAATATACAGTCTTCTTTTTGCAGACTGCAGACATTTAAATATCTCTTTTACTGTAGAGGTCTACAGATGTGGTCCGCAGACTGCAGCCATTTTGCCTCTAAAAAAACAAACAACACCTTAGCCTCGGAAGTTTTCACTTAAAACATGAAAATGATCGGAATTTATGGGGTTTCAAAGTTGCACTGAATTGCTTTTTTTTTTTTCTCAATATGTATAACAGTATAACAATATGTGTGTTTAGTATTAATTAATGAAACTAAAAGTCAAATACTGCAAATGGTTGTAACAATACATACTGCTATGTGATTACACATCAACATCCAAATCTTCTCAAATTACTTATATACAAAGACAAACTAAATCAATATTTCTTCACACATGATTTACATGATTAAAACTCACGGTGGAACTTGAGTTATTGCATGTGGCAAGAAACTCGTTGCCAAGGTTCATTGGAATTTTAAACTTATTATCTTTATCATTCTATCCAATCTTATTATCTGAAGCTTTAAACTTTGATTGGAGATTACATTAATTATGTATGAAAAATGTTTATTTCTAAATAGTAATATGAAGGAAAGGATTCTTATAAATAGTGGAGGTGACGACTTTGATTAGAAAGAGGGAGGATAGTGTGAAACTAGACATTAATTAGCTATGTGTAACCATACAACGCAAGTTGAGTTTGCATAGGTGCATATGATAAACTTAATCTCAAGGTTACACAATTTAATTTAGCTTGGGTGATGCAAACCCCACAATTGTTGCAAATAAATAATAAATATATAAATAAATAAATAAATAAATAATTCAAGTATTTATCCAACAAACCATACGTAACAACATAGTGCAGAAACCAAAGCCAGAAAAAGACATCAAATCGCATATAAAGGTGAGTGAATAAATAAATTGCAAAATCATCCACCAAATTAAGTTGGGTCTAAACATCTTGAATATGTTCAACATATACAAGATGCAAACCAAGATAAGAATACTAAAAAAGTCATTAATCATTTATGAGATTAAACATCATGGAGAAAGCACCACATGTTTGCAGCAAAGAACCTACCTTTCAACTTTTATCAGTAGCATACATCTCGTATTGTGATCGAGGGTCAACCCACGCCTGTGCCTTTACTTTAATAGCAAAACCATACTTCCAGCTGGCAACGAAACCATATTCTTCTATTTTCTTTTCACCAAAATCTAGTTCCTCGAGAACCTCAAATGGATATCTTACCTGTGAAACCACATAAAAGCTTTCACCCAAGCGTTCAAATGCATTAAACAAGTTCGGCTTTAGATTATTCTTGGTTTCGAGTAATGTCAATTTGGGGTTGGGATGCAGTCTCATTTCAAATAAACCACACACATTGTCACAGGTATATATCTTCCCCTAGAAAGCACATAAATTAGAGAGGTTGAAAGTGGAGGTGACATGATTCCATGCTTGTGTAGTACCCGCTGCACAAAACAATATTTTCTTGGTGAATCTAAATAGCACAACAAACACCAACCCATATATTAAAGGTGAAAAGACAAGGATAACTTGATTAATCGTGGATTATAACTCTCTGAATAACAGGGATATGAAGTGCATGCCTTGTAATAGGATTCACAAGCAAGAAATATCGGGTTTTCCTCCCAAGAAAGACGAAGTAACCACAAGTGAATCCAACATAGATTTTGCCACCCGAATGAGGAATGATGGTTTTGAACGTTTTTCCTTCAAAGTCCTTTAGGTAGCAGCAGTACTCTCATCATCATCGGTAGCGATACGTATGAATATAGGTGGTCTTAATATAAACTTGCTCCGGTTAGAAAGT